AAGCAACCCCATTCCCCACCCTGTCCTAAGAGACAACCACTATCATGAATTCAGCATATCTCCTTCCAGAATATTTAAAATGTATTTACAAGCATATATGTTTTCATGAGTAACGTGTATGGTTTTGTGTGTGCATAGTCCCACACTGTGTGTGGCATCCCCTGACTTGCTTTTTAGTAAACCTTATGTGTTTTCGATCTCTCCATAGTGATGTATATGGAGAGAAAGAGCACCGTTAGAGCCTCTTCTCCAATTTTCCGTATGTGTGAATATAAAAATATGATAGTAATAGCCAACAGTTACGGTGCTTGTCCCATATGCCATGCACCCTCTGTTTCCTCATCAAATCCTCACACCCCTGCATGTAACAGCTCTGCTATATCTTCCCAGTGTCACACAGGAAACTGAGGTTAAGGGGACTGTCCTTTGCCTGAGGCAGCTTGTAATCCACGAGTGTGTGTGATCTCCAGCCCCAGAGGCTTCACACCAACGCATAAGTGAGGTGTGGGTAATACCCTGGGACCCAGGTGACTGTGAAAAGTCAGTTCCCCAGCCTCTCAGTTATTGGAAAGGTTCTCACTGTGACCTGTGGTGAACAAAGCACGAACTAACCGTCACTAAACCTGGCTTTAGTGGTTGACTCCAACCTGGTGGCTCTGCAGTGTTGACAGATAACTTATCTTCCCTTTCTGCCTCGTCCTCACATATGAAATGGGACTCCGGTTGGCTGCTCACCTACCTGCAGACCGTGTTGGGAACCGGATGAGACCGGTCATGATGGGAAAGCACTTGGGAAGCCACACAGTGGTCCACAGAGGGGAGGCTTCTAGGAGGCGGGGTTGCGGCCTGCTTTTCACCCTCCTCCTCAACAGCCCACCCACCATATTCCAGCTGCACCCCCATGGTTTTATATTCATCACAGTGTTTAATCCTCATTCCTCAAGCTGCAGCTTTAGAGAGATTGTTTTAAATCTCTTGTTTTTTCTGGCTTGTTTAATTACTACTATGGCAACATCATTTTTTTCCTTCCTTTTTTTAACTTCATATATATCATATTTCAGCCTCTTTGTGGGTTAAATTAAGTTTTATGGGTGGGCCTGGGAACCCAATCAAAATTTATAGCTGTATTTCTCTGGAAAAATCGTTTCCAAGCTTCAAACAACTAATTATAAGGGAAGTTTTGGAACACCACCAATTTGTAAGCTGGGACCACCGTACCGTTTGCATTGTTTTCTAATTAGTTCATGGAAGGATAGCTGATCTCCCCATAGAGATGGTAAACTTCTTAAGGGCAAGCACTACATCTTGCCTGAATCCCCCCTTAATACCTGGCAGGTGCCAAGCTTATGAACGTGTTCAACAAATACTGGTTTCCTTCCTCCAAAGCCCAGCTGCCTTGTCTGCCTCCAGGAAATGGGCGCTGATGGCAGCGCTGTGCGCTCCCCTGGGAACCTCTACAGTAGTCATTAAATCATACACTATCCAACGGGGTGACTCACAGAGGAGACCTAGGGAGGCAGCATGTCTCATCCAGCTTAATTTGGATGAATGGTAATTACAGTAGTAACAACAATACCAACTTTTGGGGTTTTTTAGCACCTAGTATATGCCAGTACTGTTCTAGATGTTTTACACTTATTAATGTATTTAACCATCACCAAAAAATTTTACATAGTTATTGTTATTGTCCTCATTTTACAGATGAGAAGACTGAAGCCCAGAGAGGTTAAACAGTTTGCCTAAGGTCACAGAGCTGCTAAAGATACAAAAGTGAAATTCGGGCCCAGTCAACCTGTCCACCACTGGGCCATACTGCCTCTCGTCCCCGAAAGGCCAGGGTTAAAACCTGCTTCACTCTCACCCCAGTGATCCTCTCTACTGGAAAGGTCTTGCATAATAATACAGTGCTGGTGTGTTCACTTGCTTCCTATCGCGTGATCTGTATTAAGTAAAATAGGTACTTTTTTCAGTGCTTACCAAATTCCAACATCACACAAAGACAGTGAATGTCTCTTGAAATCCTTCTATCCAAAGCTAAACTCTTGATCACCATTTTGGCCAACACCCTTGCAGACATCTCCTTTGAATACCTATGTGTGTAGATGCCTGCCTGCAGTGTAATGTAATCGGCACCTTGTTCTGAATGCATTTTTGTAACCGGGGGATGATATTATTTGTCAGCTTCGGACACACGAGGATATTACAGCTCAGGAAAGGGGACTGACTTGTCCAGTGGAGAGCTAGCAAGTGCCAGGGCGGGGATGTCAACCCCGTGTGAGTTTTTACAGTTTGTGGCGTCAGTTCTCAAAGCAAAGGCCACGTGTATTTTTTGACACCTGTCACTCCTGTGCAAACACTTCCTCCCTGTACCAGGTCCTACTCTGGACTGAGTGGGTGCCGCACCCCTGACGCTCTATAGTCTTCTGGGAGTGCTGCCTACTAAAAAAGAGATTCGGGGTACTTGGCAAGTAGGAATATTTATACAGCTCTCAATAAAAATGGCATTTGAGCTTTGTGTAGACTAAATGAGGCTGAGGCAGCCTCCTCGGAGGTTGCACAGTGATTGTAAATGTGGCCCCGACGTGACCACGACGGTTCCAGTGCCACCCACCATTTCCCCATCGAACAGCATTTAAAGTTGTTTTGAAGAAGTTGAAGGGAAATGGAATCTGATATTTTGAGAGGGAGAGATGCTCATTACCTCATCCTAACCAACTTCCCTTCCTACTGATACTTTGGTCTTGGGGTTGGTATCCAGTTTTGCTGAAAATGAAATCATCTGTTCAACTCTCAGGCTGTGTTAGCGAAAATGAACTCTAATGTGATTAGATATTAATGTAATGTAATGGAGGATTGGTATTAAATTGAGGCCTTCTGATCTTATTACTCCACAAATGCTCCCTCCTGCTCAGGCTGCAGCCCTGCCAGCCCTGCCTCCCCAAGCAGAAGCGAGGGGCAGTGGTGCCAAAGCCCCTGAGCCCGCTGCAGGAGCCTGGGGTAGGGGGAGAGGCAGATGGGGAGATGGGGAGAGCAGCAACAGGCGAGAGAAGGGAGATGGGCTTCAGGCCCGGCTCTGCCCAGGACCACCCACTTCCCTCACTGCCTTGGGCCTCGGGTCTGTCTTGTGGAGGCAGGAGGGGCTGGACACTGGAGGCAGAATTCTGGGCCTGCCTGGGCTCTCAGAGCCACGAGCTCATTGCTGAGGACCGTGAGCTTACAAGTGTCAAGTGTCACCTTTATATCCAGAAGCATTTGAAGATTTTTTTCTGATTGGCCTAGGGCTGGAAAGCTAAGAACAAAACCTTTACCTCCTTCACTCCTACCTCCTCTCTACCCCAGTCCTTTCTGTGAAACTGATTTGAACCTAATAGTCACCACTGGCTGTTGTCACTGATCCTAGTTCTGTTTCCCTTTCCTGGAGGGGGGCCTCGGAAGCAGGCGGTGGACCTGTTGTGGTATGTGCCATAGCATCCTATAGCAGCGGGCATGGGACTGATGCCCAGACAGTGTGGGCACCCCTTTTCCCAGACCTGCCAGAAGAAAGACATGAGTCTGCCATCAGTTACACAGCTTAGCTAGGAAGTGACAGCTAGGCCTGTGAGAGCCCAGGCCCAGTGTGGAAGCCCCACGGGCCGCAACCTGCCCAGCAGCCTCCCCAAGAGAGCCATGTGGGCCTGGGAGCTAAACAGCCCCCACCGAGAAAATGGGCCAGGAGTGCAAGCTCTGGGCATGGTCAGATGGCATCACCTTCATGTATGAATAATAGCGTTTTTACAAGGATAGCGATGTTTCTTGTGCCATTTCCAGAAAACTGCTTGCAGAGGCACAGACTTTGCACACAGGATGGTAACGACTTTTTAATGACCTTCAGGGGCCTGGTGTCCAGGCTGCAGTGAATCAGTCTCAGTGGGAGTCTCCTAGCGAGAGAGAAGATGGAACACCTGAAGCCAAAGGGGGAAAACAAACCGCAAATACATATATTTTCTTTGGTAGCATTACTTGGTAATTAGACAATTACAGGAAACAGCTTCCCAACAGCTGGCATTTCCACTGTGTGAGCGGAGGAGGCAAGGCAACAACTGTGAACTCACATTTATTATAGGAAATATTATTGGCGTTTACAGTCGTGGGTGCCATACAGTCGTCCAGTGCGTCCTGATGAGCTGTGTGGGTTAAGCCAAGAGCAGAGCTTCCCCTCTCAGGTTTGTTTAAGGCCTGCTCGGCTGGGCTGTAAACGCGCTGGCCCAGCCCCTGCTGATCGATGAGGAATTGCCTTTAAAATGCTGGGGCTGCTTTTGGGCCCAGAGGCTAGACAGTCCTGAGAATAAACCGTCTAGGGGATGCATTTGGAAGCTGGAACGGGAGGGGTAGAGGCCTGTGGGGAAATTGCCTCTTCTTCCCCAGGTGCCATCACTCGCATGGAGGAGCGGGGAGGTCAGACAGACAAGCCCGGTGTTCATACCGCAGTGAGGGACCCCCCCACACTTCTCTAGCCGCAGTGCTGGGACTCCACAGCCATCCCCTTGCCCTGCCCCCCCCCCAGCCCACATTCCTGCCCTGATCCTTCTCAGAACCCTCCAGTGAAGTCACTGTTCCCACTCGGACGCGTCCATTCAGCCAACAGCCCTCTGAGGCAGGCCCAGTTTCATAGAGAAAATGTGTTTTATGAACTCCCGCCAACCTTGATCACTTTTACACTTGGCCTCGCTCTTGTCACAATGTGAGCTTGAACTGCACCTTGGGCTTGTTTATGGAGAGCTTTATAAGAACCCCAGTCACCTTCACAGAAGGGTAGAAGCACCTTCTTGAATGAGATTGTAGGCTGTGAATGGGGAGATGAGGGACTTGCTGCCCCCACTCAGCCACAAATTAGGCGGAGCCCTGACCCCATCCCCCACCCCCCTACAGCGCAGGTCTCCCGTTTGCAGGCCCTTCCCCAGCACTGCCGGCAAGGCTGCCTGTGCCGTTTAACCAGGCGAATTGTTGTGTTCCTCTCATAGGTCCTGGCAATCAGTCAGTTTTGAAAGACAGCCCGCCTCCTTCATCCGAATCGTTGGAACACACAACACAGCAAATGAGGTAAGGGTCCCTTTTCTTGAAAGACGCTGTGCTGTTTGTGATGGACAGGTACACGCTGCATCCCCAGGGAAGTGGAACTGTTGGTTCCACCCGCCAATGGCCTGTTGTTCAGACAGCTTGGTGCAGAAGAAGTCCTGCTCTTGTATGGGGGTGGGGGGTGGGGGTGGGGAGGGGCATCATTTTCATTTCTGAATGTCGCTTCACCAGCAAATGAAAGCCAACTCCTATGGCTTTGTCTTCTCCTACCCTCCTCTGCGGAATTGTCAGCCATGGAGACCTTGAGCAGTCAAATGCCCTGTCCTCAGTCCATCATCCCAGCCAGCAGCCCTTTCAGAGGTCCCTGGCTCCCTGAGTGTGGTGTTCGGGACCCCCCAGCCCCAGGGGGCAGTGCGGCGCCCAGCTGCTGACTTCCTCTGTCTGTCTACTCAGTCCTGGGCCGGCTGCATATGAATGTTGATGAATGAGCCTCCCCCTTCCAGGCCTGTTCCTCCCCTGGTGCCCAGGCCTGCTCCCAGGGCCGGGCAGTCATTCCATGGACCGTGCTGCCTGTCAATGTTCCCTCACCTTCGGATTTAATGAGGGAAGAGTGGGCAGGTGGTTTTCCCCCGTATTTGGTCCCTGTGGTCAGAGTAGCAGCCAGGTGAGGTGCCTGGGCCTCAAGCATCACCATGCTGCTTTGTGTGGAATGGAAATGGCTTGGGAGAAGGGCACTGGGCTCAGGAAGACGCTAATAATAATCGCACCAGGACAGCAGCCGTAAAGCAGGGCTGAGCCAGGCCCACCTGAACTGTCGTTCCCTCAACATGGATTCCCATTGGGCTCACAGACACTCAGGATTCACTCACAACTTAAGATGAGAATAGCATCTGCTTCAATTTTAAGTTTAAAACAATCAATCCAGAATTAATCACTTACTTTTTCTGGTCTTCAGTGGGTGCTGAGCAAGTAAGTACCTATGGTGAGGGCTGGTGTCTAGCCGCTGGCCATGCTGTTGTAGTCTGCTCATCTCACACTTGCTTCTCCAGTCATAGATATTTAGTATGGACCTCTGAAGGACCGCCGATTAGACAGGAATTATGAGCAGCAGTAAGGTTGAGACTTAAGAGGTAACTGAAAGGCATAAGAATAGTAACAGCTCTGCATTTTCACTTCAGCATGATCTTTCTCTGGTCCAATGGGACCAGCTTCCCAGGGGGGCAACCAGGGCAGCTGCACGGAGCTCCAGCCCGGTTGGGCTCTGTGCTTGGGGTGCAGCTCCCGGCAGCCATCTGGAAGTTCTTAGCGATGTTACCTTTGAATTATTTTGTTTAATAAAGGAAGCCTCGGGGGACAGTGGGGCACCCACCCCGGCTTGGAGCCTCAGCTCACACGCAGGCCCACCTCTGCCCCTTCTCGGCCTCCCAGGAAAGGTCCTCAGCTACCCACTCCCTGCCTCCAGTGCCTGAACCTGACCAGCCTCCCCCTCCTCAGCGTGCCCCACAACCACTGCCACCCCCCACTATCAGTGGGGCCCCGGATGTCTGCAGGGACGGTCAGCGTCTGGCATGAACCCTGCATGTGAGTCAGCAGGCAGGACCCCTGGCACCTTGGGCGTCTGCCCTGGTCCAAGGAGGTCCCCTGTGCCCACGGGAATGCAACATTAAACAGCAAATGAAACCCCTTGGCAGGTCAAGAGACAGACTGGAAAATAAGCTTTTCCTGCTTTTCGAACCAGAGGCTCCATGTTTTCACTTTGCCCTGAGCCCTGCATGTGACATAGCTTGTCTGAGACTAATATACTGTTTGTTGTATTTGTTGTATTTGTTGAATTCTCCAGAGCACATTGAGGTATTTTTGGTACTTCAAAAAGCACTTTAAAAACTGAAAATATTATGATAATTTATATTCATTTTGCCTTTTTATTTATTTAAAAATGATACACACCCAGAATGTTTCTTCCAGAGAACAACTTGTAAACTGAAACCTGAAACTTTTTCTCTGACCTCTTCACTTCAAAACAAATCTAAAAATTATAAAAGTAAACCATAATATTTAAAGCATAAAATTAAAGATTTCTAAACATCAGATCATAAAAGCACTTTTTCTTTTTTTTTTGATGATGTAACGAAAGTAAATTTGAATCTTCATTTTTATTTATTTTTTATTTATTTTAAAGATTTTATTGGAGAATCGGGGAAGGGGAACAGACAAGTTGCTGTCCTTTTGTTCTTCAGTCTAGTTGTGGAGGACGT